CGATTTTGGTGAATATGAGGAGGCTGCCGAGTACTATCGGACTGTTTTGGAGGTAACAGTTTTATCGTCTTCTCAATACCCAATTTATTCAACTAATATATAGACACCAAATGGGTGATTAATGAAATTGCTAATTAGGTTTCTTATTGAATTTAACCGGTATGTGATTTTTGTTGTTACATGCCGGAGTTTTGGAAATCACTATTCACTTGATTGAGTGCCTGAGTAAGCCTGTCTGTGCTGATACGCTTAAATAACTAGGTCGGAAGAGCAAAAAAGTAGGACGCATGACTTGAAATTTAATAAAAGGACGTTGAAGCGAGGCTCTGACGGTATAAATTAGTCTATCATTTATACTAGTATTGCGCAATTGGTAATCAATATATTGGCAGATGGCTCATAGTTTTTGGAAAATGCAGATTCGAAAATCACCCTAACTAATGATAGACACTTATTCCTGAAAATTTATTCGTTGAAGTCATTGGCCAATCACTGCTGTGCAACGTGATGATTAACAAGTTTACGGTTAATCTTATTTTCTATTTTGTAGATTGATCCAGGTCACAAAAGCTCTCTCTTCAACTTGGCATTGATGTGCCACAATGAGCTCAATGACTCGTTGGCTTCAATTCCTCTTCTTCATAAACTCATTGAAGCAGGCTATTTCCAAATTCTGAATAAACAGTAGAACTTCAGCAAAAATTAAATTTCAGAAAATTATTGTATAGACGTATTCGGATCACTTCAAGTCCTATATGGTTCCTGGGGACATTGAACTTTCCGTCCTGAAAAATTCAACCGCAGTAACCAAGGTTTGAAGGATATTTGTCTAAACACCATACCATACCATATCAGTAATAGTCTCTGGCATGCTAACACTCGTTATTTTTGTTTGTTTAGCTCTTTGAAAAGGCGACAAATCTCTCACCGAATAGCCTTCAAGCGCGTCATAACTACTGTGTGACCGTCAATGAGGATACTGGTGACCTTGAGAGGGGTGAGGAATGTCTCAAATTTGCCTCCTCGCTTGCTGATTCCAACAATCCAAATGACGAATTTGTTTTCCCACACTTGGCTATGATTCGAGCCAAACGACAAGCAAGGGATCCGTTGACTTAAATGTTTCTGACACTGACTGTAATAAAATGTATTTGTGTGTAGTTTGCTTGCAGTGATTATATTTCGTGATTGGTGTAGGTATTTCCAATGGTGCAAACAACGTACTCTTTGGTGGTGTTACTTCAAGCATGATGGATTAGGGGATCAGATTGTTCCGTCGAATTTACTTCTATATATTGAAGAAGAACTTTCTTTGAATTTTGATTTGCGTCTTTTATACTCAAATAGTATGTGTAGAGTTAATCTAAAAAGATCAATGATATGTCTTTATTATTTTGCACAATCAAGATTTCACTGGTTTTGAATTTGTATTTAATCATAACCGACTCTAACCGTATATATATTATTGATCCAATGAATGGAACATATCTCTAATAGTGTTTTAAAATCATAACGTCTTGAAATGAGTGAAAATTATATTTGAAGACGACATTTAAAAAATACAAATTAAGAAGTGAATTATTTTCACCAATTGAAGGTGAGAAGAAATATATGCACAGTAGAATCAATTTTTCGACTCTGTAATCAGATCTCACCCTCAACCATTTAAATCAAGTAACTACCTTAAAATGGTTTGATTTTCCAGTGACTCACTTTATTTAAGGCAAAATGGCAAACTTGTAGGGACAAAAAGATGTGTTTTGGATTCGGTGTAAAGACATGGACATGAAAAAGATGTATTTGACGCGATTCGGAGATGACACACTTGCTAAGAAGGGGACAACGATTTTGCAATGCATGGACCGGCCGATGTCTTTCCACACAATGAAGGCCTTAATCAAGAGGGAATTCCAGACCTCAAGGTTCAACGAACTCAAAGCTCAAACAAAGGAGAAACAGTGGACAGTGGCACTCTCCGACATACCCGACTGGCCAAGAATCGAAGCCGTTGCTGAGTTTAGACTACGTACCAGACACGATTACTTGGCGTAACACCTTCACAGATTGGGAGTTTACCCTCAACCCACATGCCCTCTATGTAACCTAAGGAGGAAATGGAGAAGACCCACCTGATTCGGTGTCCAGCTCTAAAGACAAGGACGGAAAGCCAAAGATACTGGGAGGCAAGAAGACTGCTAATGAACTGCTATCAATTAACTGCTATAAATGTACCCCTTCCCTCTTGGGGGAAGCTGAAGTCAAAGATTAAGGGG